TGAGAATGGGACTTGGGAGCTTGTTGAGTTACCCGAGGGGCGACGGCCGATCAGCAGCAAGTGGGTCTTCAAGGTGAAGAGTGGAGCTGATGGTGCGTTGGAGCGGTTCAAGAGCCGCTTGGTCGCAAAGGGGTTTCACCAGAAAGAGAAGGTCGACTTTGGGGAGATCTTCGCTCCTGTTGCTAAGCCAGTGACACTAAGGACTTTGATGGCTGGCGCAGCTGTGAAGGGATGGCACGTGAAGCAGATGGATATCACCACTGCGTTCCTCAATGGAATACTGCTGGAAGATATCTACATGGCGCAGCCCGACGGCTATGAGGATGGGACCAGCCGGGTGTGCAAGCTTAAGAAGGCTATCTATGGCCTTAAGCAAGCGCCCAGGTGTTGGTACGAGAAGCTGGAGGAGGTGCTGCTGAGTGGAGGCTTCAAGACATCCCAGGAGGATCACAGTTTGTTTCTGCTTGGAGAGGGGGAGCAGCTGCTTTTGCTGCTGGTGTATGTCGATGACATACTGCTGTTCTCACCCTCCATGGAGCAGATTGAGAGGACACAGAAGCTGCTGATGGACAACTTCAAGTGCAAGATGCTGGGGGATGTCCATTACTACTTGGGGCTGCAGATTGAGAGGGATGTTGAGAGGAGGTGGCTGAAGGTGCATCAGTCACACTACATCTCTGGTGTCATGGAGCGCTATGGTGTGACTGGGGGTCGCACTGTGATGACACCGTTCCCTGCGGGCTTCAAACTGAAGAAGGCAGCTGAGGAGGATGATGTACTCGAGGATGAGCAGCAGAATGAGAACCAGTCACTCATTGGGAGTGTGATGTATGCAGCTGTGCATACGCGACCTGATGCTTCATTCGGAGTGGGGCAGCTGGCCAGAGTTGTGCAGCGGCCCACTTAGGAGCAATTGGAGGTGGCAAAGCGCTTGGTGCGCTACCTCGGATCAACGGCATCTGCTGGTGTTCAGTGTTCAGCTGGTGGCCAGCTGAAACAGATTGGAGCAGATGGGGTCACGCCTGGAACCTTGAAGCTGTCGTGCTTCACCGACGCCACATGGGTCTCAGAGGATGAGGATCAGTCACTGGTTGGCGGTTTTGTGTGCATGGTCGGAGGTGGACCAGTAAGCTGGAGGTCCAAGAAGCAGAGTGAGATTGCTCAGTCTTCCGGAGAGGCAGAGTACATGGCGATGTACCATGCCATCAAGGAGATCGTGCTCCCGAGGAAGCTGCTGGAGGACATGGGAGCAGAACAGGAAAGACCTACACCACTTTTCTCCGATAGCGAGGCTGCTATTGGCATGGCAAATAATCCTATCCTCAATAGGCTAAACAAGCACATGAAGATTAAGTGGCATTGGGTGAGGCAGATGGTAAAGGAAGGGATTGTTGAGCTTCACCATGTGAAGGCTAGCAAGCAGGCGGCAGATTTTCTCACCAAGAGACTTCCCCAGAGCGCACATTGGAAGTGTGCTAAGATGTGTGGCATGGCATTGCACTAGTGTGGCAGCAGTGTCATGACTGCATGTGTGATTGTGTGCATGAGAGTTAGCATTTGTGTGAGTATATGTGCATGCAGTCCGTAAGTCTGAGGGGGAGTTTGTTGGATGCACGTCATTCTGAGTGCATGTCATCCTAACGTCCTGCCGAGTGCTCGTGCTATTTGTGCTTGCATGATTTGCATGAGCATATGTCATTATGCATGGCTGTTGGATATTGTCATCTCTGTGTTTTTCTCCAAGTCTAAATGCTTGATCATGCAGGAGAAATCCAGAGCTTTCCAACGATACCAAGATCGCCTTATTCCGACCAAGATCGCCCAAGTTACAAGATTTCCAAGACTTGGATTTCTTATTAACTTTTGGGGTTATATCTAATTTGGGTGTTTACTTGGGACATGACTATAAAGGGATCTTTGGTTGGGTGGTCAGGGAAGGCAACTTTGACTTTTGGATTGGGGTGGCTAGAAGTTTCTAGCATGGGTTGCAAATGTTGCAACATAAAGCCAAAATCCAACTAGATTGGATTTTGCATGTGACACCTCAAGGACCTCATGATGAGGGTTGCATCCTTGCTGCTAAGAAGGTTCCTACCATCCTTCCCTAGCTCTTGGAGAACCCCTTCCCTCTCATGGTTCTCTTGAAGTCCCCAACTCCAACTTCCTATGCCTTAATGCTTGTACTTCTTCCACCATTCTAGTTATGCGGCTGCTGGACGTTTTTACATGGCTCTCACTCTCTAGACCATCTTAACGTCTGATTCGACTTGGAGATGATAGCTAAGTCTAAGGCGCACAACCCTACCGAGCGGAGTTGCGTTTAATTGAGTAATGAGTTCGTCGTAAGTTCTCAAAGTGACGGATCCTAAACAACACTTGCATCTCACTATACATCATATGGGTGTGTTTGTGGACAGGCCTTGTGGCCCCTTGCTTTTGTAGAGATGCTTGTTATGCATATCGTGTACTCTTGCATATCTTATATCTGCTATACCTGCATGTGGACTGGCCTTGTGGCCTCATGTTTGTTCTCGGACTGCGTGGTGATATTGAGATCCACCCCGAGAGTCGTTTTGTTATTGTGAACTTGTCTTGTGACCGTTGCTTGTATGTGCTGATTGGTCATGTGACCGTTGCTGTGTTTTTGCTCTCCACAGGACTTCCGTCACCTAGACTATGGGGGTGTGTCAAGCTATATTTGTTTTAGCTTCTATTATTAGTCTAGGTGTACTTTCTACTTGTCGGGGTTAGGGTTAGGTTTCCTATATATTTTTACTTTCCATTTCTAGTCATTCCTATTTCTCAACAGTTGTTGCTCGCTTAGCCGTTCGCAACCACCTGCCGTTAGCCGAACGCATTCACTTTGGCCAGCACAAGACTGCTAAAGCCTTGTACAATGCTGTAGTCGCTTGTTACTCTTCCCTTGCCACTGCTGCTCTCGGCCGCCTTATGCTGCACTACCTTTTTCCTGAGCTGTCAGCCTTTGCCAGAGTCGAGGACCTCATCACCCACCTTCGCACTAGTGACACTCGTTACCGCGCTGCCCTTAAAGCCGAGTTCCTAGACAAGAACCCGCCCCCGATGTACATCACTCTCTACTCCTTAGTCACCCGCCTCCCTGACTCTCTTTGCACGGCCTGGGACCACTTTCTCGCACTTGACCCCACAGACCTCAATGTCGAACTGCTCGAGAAGCACCTCCTTGCAGCTGAGACTAGCATAGTCACTATAGGTGCTGCTCGTGGCACTCCTCGCACACCCTTCTTTGAGGGGTGTTCCCCCTCCCCCCTTGCCCCCTCCTACGCTTTTGCTGCTTCTGTTGACGTCCTTGGTGCTAAGGAGGTCAGGGCTGCTTCTACTCCTAGTGGAAAGCGCCGCAGCGGCAAGGGCAAGGGAGGCAAGAGTGGTGGAGGTGGCAGCGGGGGTGGTCATGTTGGAGGCGGTGGAGGCGGTGGTGGTGGCGGAGGTGGCGGTGGGAGTGGTGGCGAGTGGGGGCGTCGGTGGCGGCGGTGGTGGCAGCGGTGGGAGTGGTGGTGGCGGTGGTGGCGGCAGTGGGAGTGGTGGCGGCGGCAATGGTGGCGGTAGGGGTGGAGCTGTTCAAAGGGGAGGTTCTGGTGGTGGCCAGAGGCAGCAACAGCAGCGTCCGAGCGAGACCCCTACGCCCCAGCAGCTTCGTGAGTGGTTTGCTCAGCGTGGGGCGTCTACGGGTAGTGTTCGCTGCCCGTATGTCATTTGCACAAGTGACCGCGCTGGTCAGACATGCGGGAAGTTTCTCCCGCCTTGACGACGCTTGGCGCGCAGAGTTTGGCGACGAGGCTGAGCGCCCCCGCTGGCTAGAGGTGCTTAGGTCTGGTGTTGATATCTTTGCTCTTGACTATGATGCTATCCTTGCTGCCATGTATTCTTTGACTGTTAGTGGTAAGGGTGACTGTTACCTGTGTGTGCCGCCCGACCTAGGTATAGAGGCTGTTTCTCTAGGTGCTAGTGAGTCTGCTCTCCCTGATACTACACCTGCTGGGGCCTTGCACACCTTCACGCTTGACTCAGGTGCTTCCCACTGTTTCTTTCGCGACAGTACCACAGTCATACCACTCCCTGCACCTGTTGCAGTCAGAGTGGCTGACCCCTCAAGGGGCCCAATTATTGCACGTTCCACCCCTGTTCTCCTGTGTCCGGCGGTTCCGTCCGGCTCACTGTTAGGTCTTCACCTCCCCTCGTTCTCTACAAACTTGGTGAGTACCGCTGCCCTCTAGGATGCGATGGTCACAACCACCACTACTGGAGGTCAGCGTGTGGTGATCTGCACGTGTACACGGACCGGCCGTCACCTGGCCACGTTCACCCGTCTGCCTGGGTCGAGTCTGTACACACTTACTACTGAGCCTGCTCATGTAGCTGCTTCTTGTCAGGTGTCCGCGTAAGGTCAGGTAGCCGCCCCCTCTTCGTGTCGCCTCCTGTCGCACCAGACATTCCTTTGGCACCACCGCCTTGGTTACCCCTCCCTGCCACGCCTCCGTGGCATGCAATCCCGCCTCCTTGTTTCTGGTCTTCCCAAGTCTCTGCCTCCCCTCCCGACCTCGCCTAACCCGCCCTCCCCTCCTTGCGTCGAGGGGCGGCAGCGCACCGCTCCTCACTCCTCCTCGTTTCCCCCGACGACTGCTCCCTTTCAGACTCTCCACATGGACGTGTAGGGCCCGGCCCGCGTCCGTGGACAGGACCGCAAGCGGTACTTTCTACTGGATGTTGACGACTACACGCGTAACACCACAGTCTTCCCCTTGCGCAGCAAGGGTGAGGTCCCTGGTGTTTTGGTCCCTTGGATCCGCGCAGTCCGTCTCCACCTTCCTGTCCCGTGACTACAATATGACAGAGGTGGTGAGTTCTCCTCCGACCTCTTCGGGAGGGCATCCTCCAGTCGTGGGGAGGGCATCCTCCAGTCGTTCACGCTTTTGGCCTCCCCGCAGTAGAATGGGATTGCTGAGCGCCGCATTGGCCTAGTCATGGAGGTGGCTCGTACCTCCATGATATGTGCGGCTGCTCCCCATTTTCTGTGGCCGTTTGTGGACCGGTACACTACGCATCAGCTAAACCTTTGGCCCTGTGTCTCCTTGCAGGAGACCTCGCCTACACTGCGTTGGATAGGGGAGATTGGCGATGCGTCGGTGTTCCAAGTCTAGGGCACTCGTGCCTTGGTCCGCGATACTTCCGCGGACAAGCTATCCTCTCGTGCCATTCCCTGTGTCTTCCTTGGCTTTCCCCATGACGAGCTTGACTGGCAGTTTTACCACCCCAACTCGCGCCGTGTTCTGTCCTCTGAGGACGTCACGTTTGACGAGTCGGTTCCCTTTTACCTTCTCTTCCCCTACCGCACGGCCCCTCTCCCCCCCAGCCGCTCTTCCTTGCTCTAGGTCCTCCTTTGGTAGACCTCTTTCCCCCTTAGGGCCTTACTCCTTCAGGTGTGTCTCAGGTAGACCCACTCCCCTTGGCTGAGCCTGTCGAGGTCACTAGCGACTGTGGTGCTGCTGGGCGTGGTGCTGCTTGGGGTACCGCGTCTAGGGGTGCTGAGCCTGCGGGTGCGGAGCCTGGGAGTGCTGAGCCTGTGCGTGCGGAGCCTGGGGGTGCTGAGCCTGAGGGTGTTGAGTCTAAGGGTGCGGAGCCTCGGGGTGTTGAGCCTGAAGGTGCGGAGTCTAGGGGTGTTGAGCTGGAGGGTACCGAGTCTGGGGGTGCTGAGCTTAGGGGTACTGCGTCTGCTGGAGGTCCTCTGGGTGCCTCGTCACGGCGGTGTCGCTGTCGGGAGCCTCTTTCGCCACAGCAGTTGCGCGAGTGGTTTGCTTGGCGCACCCGCCTTCGAAGTCGTGCAGCTGGAGCTGTAGGCCCTACCGCTGGAAGCACTATTGCTGGAGGTGCTGGAGCTGGGGGCGCTGGAGGTGCTAGCGCTGGAGGTCCTGGGGTTGCTGGAGTTTCTGGTCCTGGAGGTGCTCGTACTGGAGGCACTGGAGTTGCCAGGGCTGGTGGTGCTCCTGGAGCTAGAGGTGCTAGTAGTGCTGGCGCTGCTGGTCCCGGAGGTGCTCGTACTGAAGGTACTAGAGCTGCCGGAGCTGGTGGTGCTGCAGGCACTGGAGCTGGAGACCCTGGAGCTGGAGGCACTTGAGCTGGAGACCGTGGAGCAGGAGGCGCTGGAGCTGGAGGCATTGGAGCTGGAGGCGCTGGAGCTAGCGGCACTGAAGCTGGAGGCACTGGAACTCGAGAAACTGGCGCTGGAGGTGCTGGAGCTGGAGACACTGGAGTTGGAGGCACTGTGGCTGGAGGCGATGGAGCTGGAGGCACTGGAGCTGGAGGTGCTGGCGCTGGAGATGCTGGAGCTGGAGGCACTGGAGTTGGCGGCACTGGAGCTGGCGACCCTAGAGCTGGAGGTGCTGGCGCTGGGGGTGCTGGAGCTGGTGGTACTAGTGCAGGAGGCAGTGTGCAGCGGCGACCGTTTTCGCTCTGCCGTCGCCGTCGTCTCTGCCGCCACCTGACTCGGTACTTCGCCAGATTCGTAGTCTCCCATCTTCTACTGGCCCTACTCCTCCCTTACTATGTCCACCGCTTGACCAGTCGCAGCCGCAGTTACAGCTTGACTCCCCACTGCCTGCTCCTTCTCCTTACACTGAGGACACAGCCTCTCTTACAGAGCGCCGTGAGCCTAAGTCTCGTCCTGCCTCGCCTGTTTGCGATGTTCGCACGGGTCGCCGTGTTTCTCGTTAGCGTCCTCCTCCTGTCCCCGGCACGCACACTATGGCACTTCATCCTTCCTCTGTTCCTCAGCGTGTCCCGCCTGCGTCATCTCTTGCTGACGGTCCGGACCCCGAGTCTGACTTAGTTCGTGCTGCCAATCCTACTGTCACACGTCTTCTAGCCTCTGTTGTCACTAACCCTTCGTTTGAGTCCGCTGCTACGTCTGCCCCGGTTGATGAGCTTGTTGAATTTGCTGCCGCCTGTTGTCTCGACTACGCCGCTAGTCTTGTTGCTAATTCTGAGTCTATCTGTCCTCCGTCTGTCGGGGGTGAGTGTGCTCTTGGCACGGACGTCCTTGAGGACAGGCAAGAAGACTTTGAGTGTTTTGCGGCTGCTGTACCTCATCTCGTAGCCATGCTGCTTGCTCCTGAGGGAGACCCAGATGCACGAGACATCCCGACCCCGCGCTCTTACGCAGAGGCGATTACGAGTCTTTAATTTTCTCAGTGGCAGGTAACTATGGACGCAGAGATGGCATTCTGGAAATCCACAAGCACTTACGTCGACGCAGTTCCGCCTCCTGGGGCGAACATAGTCGATGGCATGTGGATTTTCAGAGTAAAGCGGCCGCCAGGTTCTCCGCCTGTCTTCGAGGCTCGTTACGTTGCACAAGGCTTTAGTCAGCAAAAGGAGTTGACTTCCTCTAGACCTTCTCTCCTACCCCGAAGATGACCACTCTTTGGGTGCTGCTGAATGTAGCCGCTCAGCGTAACTACGAGCTTCACTCTCTTGACTTCAGCACAGCTTTCTTACAAGGCAGCCTTCACGAGGAGATCTGGCTGCGCCGCCCACCTGGCTTCACTGGGTCGTTTCGTGCAGGTACCCAATGGAGCCTCCAGCGACTAGTCTACGGTTTCCACCAGGCGCCTCGCGAGTGGCACAACACACTGAGGACGACGCTTGCGGCTCTTGGGTTTCCTCCTTCGACTGCTGACCCGTCGCTGTTTCTGCGCATCGACACTTTGCTGCTGCCGTTCTACATCCCCATGTACGTCAACGACTTGGTTTTTGCCACTGCTGACACTGAGGCAATGGCCCTTGAAGTCGGAGCTGCAAAAGAGACACACCTGCACAGACTTGGGTGAGCCGCGCAGCTATCTTGGCTTGCAGATTACCCGGGACAAAGCACGCCGCACCATCACCCTGACTCGGTCACACATGGTGCACCAACTCCTTCAGCGCTTCCGCTTTCGGAACTCCTCGCCACAGTCCACTCCTCTGCCTACCGGTCACTCGCTCTCAGCTCCACCTTTGGACGAGTTCGTAGAGCTGAGTGGCCTGTATTCAGAGCTTGTTGGCTGCCTCATGTACCTGATGACCTGCACTCGACCTGACCTTGCATACTGTACCCTCTTAGCATCCTGGCACGCTACGTTGCGCCTGGGAGACACCGACCAGAGCACATGAAGGCCCCCTAAGAGGGTGTTGCACTACTTGTGCAGTACGTCGGGCATGGGGCTCTTTGCTTGGAGGACGGGGTCGAGTTGTCCTCACTGGACACGCAAACGCGACTTGGGTTGACGACTTGGCTACGCACGTCATAGGGTTACACCTTCAGCCTTGGCTCCGGCTCTGTTTCTTGGCGGTCTACCCGCTCGTCTTCTGTTCTCAGTTCCAGTTGTGAGTCTGAGATCTACGCACAGGAGTTACACTGGCTCACCTATCTGCTGAGCAACTTGGGAGAGCAGCCTTGTTCTCCTTCAGTTCTGTACGCAGACAACAAGGCTATGATTGCCCTATGTCAGGAGCACAGACTGGAGCACAGGACGAAACATATCGCTCTGCGTTACTTCCTTACTCGAGAGTTGCAGCAGTATGGTCAGCTTCATCTTGCTTATGTGGCCACTCGGGCCAACACTGCTGATATATTCACCAAGGCACTTCAGCCTGGTAATCATTTGCATTTTTTTACTGTTTTAGGCCTTGTACCTACTTTGCCTCACTTGCTCATTTCTTAACTTTGCTTGTACTGCGATCTATATACATATACATGTATGCTTACCCCTGCTATGTTATGATCAATGTACTGTTTGTTCTTGATTATTTAAGGGTGCAATGGATCGAAGTAGCGAGGATTGCACTAAGGTGTCAAACGAGTACAAAATGTGAGCGAAGGCATGAGCGTTATACGCAAAAACATGCAAACGGTAACGCGATGCGTGCGAGCTAGCTTGTGCTAGGCTAGCATCGAGGCTCGGGCTTGTCCCGAAGCGTAGACTAACATAGCCGGGCCAACGGTGCATGGTTTGGTGAAACAACGGCTGCTGCTGTACGCGATGTTGCAGGTCACGGTAAGGAATGTCGAGAAAATCCCTTACACTATCCCCCCCCCCCCCTCAAGAAGCCCCCTCCGCTACGCGAGTGCATGTATATCGCGGAAACCAAGGCTTCTCAGGTACACTTGCAGGGCAGGGTGGTTTTCAATGTTGGCCTGGGGCAACCAGCTATCCTCAGTTGGCTTGCGGTCCTTCCAGCAGACGAGGAACTCGATCCTCTTGATTCCCGTGGGGTGTTGAATCCGATGGCTCAGAATATTTTCGGGCTCTATGATCGGCTCCGAAGTAGGGCGAGTCATGGATGGCGGGCGGTGTCGAGGCAGTTGGCTTGTGGTTGGGACATATGGGCAAAGCAGGCTGACATGGAATGATGGGCTGATGTACCAGTCGGTCGACAACAGTGGATGGGCGGTTACTGGCGTTATCACGTGGCTGATTTGGAACGGTCCACAGTAGCGGGGTCGGAGTTTTGGTACGTCGGGCAGTCGTAAGTTCTGTGTGTTGAGCAGTACGTAATCTCTTGACTGGGATGTGACTGGGCGGCGGTGGCGGTCAGCGTTGCGCTTAGCAATGACATCTGCTTTTTTTACTGCTTCTGCGGCTCTGGTGCGGGCAGCTTGCAAAATCTCGGCAAATTGTTGGGCGCGTGGCTACGGATGGTCTGGGCTCGGCGTCATGGGCACTGTTGGGTTTTGCCCTACTTTAGGTAAAACGGGGACTGTTGCGTCGTCGCTGACGTGGCGTTGTTGTTGGGGAACTCGATCAGTGGCAACTGCTGCTCCCAAGTTGTCGAGTGGTCGCACGTGGCACGAATCAACCGCTCCAACGTCTGATTCGTCCGCTCCGTTCGACCGTCGGTCTCAGGGTGGTACGACGAGCTGAACTGTAGCCTTGTCCCGAACTGCTCCCAAAGGTTCCTCCAGAAGTTGCTAGTGAACTTATCTGCCTATGATCGGCACATAACTCCGCAATTTCCCTCCATTTGGCGATTTGCAGGAAGATGTGCAACGAAAATAAGTGAATTCTAGGTGCTGGTCGACTTACTGCGAGTCGAATTGACTGTAGAATCAACGAGCTTGAATTTTGTACGTCTCGCAATTCTCCCTTAGTCGAAATTCGCGTATGATCTCGGCTGTTGAGGAGAAACTTGATCCGACACTCCAAATCAACCTCTTTGGTCGAAATTCTCTGGGCCGTTGAGATTCGAATCGATCCGACGGTCGAAACTCCAACTTTTTTTGCCAAATAATCATGAAGGGTGTTTGAAAACCGGATCGAGGGGGACTTGGAAAATTGCACGGAACTGGTTTTACATACCCGTATCGGCGCTTTCGTCATCGCCTCCGTGTTTTTTAAAGGCCGGAACTTAACGGTTGAAGACCTCGCGTGAAAAATCGCTCTGATTACCAAGTGTGAGGATCTGGTTCAGGAAAGATAAGTCTATCAAATGATCCACTTGGGTACAAGTTGAGGTTATATAGGCTCGACACAAAGACAGTAACCCGGGGGTTACTAGAAGGTTCCGCGGGTCGCCAAGCATCCCGAACGGGTCCTTCCCGAAATCGGTAGAAGGCGATTCAGTGGCAACCGAAAAGCTCAAATTCGGTGCACTCAACCTAGTTCGGAGCCTATAACTATAATAATTATAGCAAAAGCAACGAACCTAGGAAATCAAGCAAAATCATGCAAGATAAAACAAAGCTAAGCTAGTAATAGCATAACAAAGTCTAGGCAAGCTAGCAAATCCAGCATAAGGCGTCGTACTCTCACATTGTAGAGCCACATGCCACTGACAACGTTCTCCCCAGGTGGTGGGACGGCATCGACGTAGGTGCCTGTGGACCTAGAAGATGCCATCTTTGCCTCCTTAGCTGCTATCCAGTACAAAGCCCAGGGTCCCGAGACCGCCTTAGCGTGAGTGCGAGGGATCGGGATGTCAAGGGCATCGAGATCCCCCTCAGGAGCAAGCAGCATGGCGCAGAGATGAGGAACAGCGGCCGCAAGGAAACCAAGCTCGGACTGCCTGTCCTCCAAGACCTCCAAGGGAAAGACATGAGCACCCCCAGAGGACGGAGAACGAGCAAGGCCACTCACCAAGTGAGCGGCGTAGTCAAGGTGGTGGGAAGAGGCAAAGCCAGCGACAGTGGTAACCAGAGCTGAGACAGACGACAGGGGTGCAGTCAGGTGAGTGACCAATGCGGACAAAACACGGAAGACGACAGGACGGGAGGCACGGAGGTAGTCGACAACGTGTCGTGAATTACAGTGAGGGACGACTCAGGCGAGCCGCCCGAGCCGCCCAAGCCGCCCAAGCCGCCCGAGCCGCCCAAGCCGCCCGAGCCGCCCGAGCCGCCCGAGCCACCCGAGCCGCCCGAGCCGCCCGAGCCGCAGCGCAACCTCAGCCGCCCGAGCCGCCGGGTCGCTCAGCCGCCGAGCCGCAGTTGCTGTAGTGCCGCCGTGCCGCCGAGTCGCCGAGTCGCCGAGTCGTCGAGCCTGCTCTTCCCACCACTGGTGAGCCCCTGCCTTACTAGCGCGCTGCCTGCTGCTTGCTTGGCTGCCTGCCTTACTGCTGCTACTCCTGCTCCTGCTTCTACTGGCGGCAGCCAGATGCAACTCCAGCGATGCCCACGCGCGTCTCTCACGCCCCAGCAGCTTCGTGAGTGGTACGCTCAGAGTAGAGGGTCTCTCAGTTCTGTTCGCTGCTCTTACGTGATTCGCACTGGTGCTCGGACTGGTCAGCCTTGTGGGACGCCTAGTCACACACCGTCCCGCTGCTTTGCCCGTCTGAGCGATGCCTGGCGTACCCAGTTTGGCGACGAGGCTGAGCTCCCCGACTGGGTGGAGTTGCTTAGGTAGAGGGTAGATATATTTGCTCTTGACTATGATGCTATTCTCACTACCATGTATGCATTGCCTACTAGTGCTGACCGTGCCGGTCACCTGTGCGTACCGCCTGACCCAGGTATAGAGCCTGCTGCTCTAGCTGCTGGTGAGGCTGCTGCTCGGGGTGCTAGTGTGTCTCCTGCTCCAGGTACAGGTGCGGCTGCTGCTCTAGGTGCTAGTGAGTCCGCTTCCTAAGGTGCGGGTGAGTCTGCTCTCTCAGGTACCGCGTCGGCTCCGGCCTCTCACACCTTCACCCTTGACTCGGGGGCTTCCCGCTCC